TCATAGTTTATATAAATTATGTCAAATTAAAGTATAAAATATTTCGTAAACTATTTAATTTTTGGCCATCTTACCCTAATAACTTTTTACACCGAATATTATGAGAAATCGATTTATATAAAAAAATTAGGATAGTTTCATTTTAAAAAATGACGATAATCTTCAAATCTCCGAAGTACTTCCACTTGAGATCCAACTAATATCCCTATCTTTTTTCTCCCTTTGAACCAAACAACTTTTACTTAAGCATTTCTTCCTGTTTCCAAAACTGTGGGTGTTATTCAGGTGGCCGGTCTTAGGTGAGATACACTGCATACATATATATATCATATAAAAAATATTATTGCCAACTTCTGACTCGTGCGTTAGAAATTGATGTATGTATATCAATTGAAATTGTAGCGCTGTTAATTATTAATTAATTATTGAAGTTTGCCATATCACAGGGCCAAAAGCAAAAAGATAGACGTCGCCCGCGATATTTCAAGTCGATAAAACTCGTATAATATGTAAAATATTTATATTAAATTATACATTGTTGTATCTTTTTCAAACAGCGCTACAATTTTTCTTACATCAAAATATCCACAATATTATAAAAATGTTATGCATACCACCCTCCCCGTTCGTTAACACGAATAGCTTTTGTAAGCAACTATTATGCTCGCAATAGAGTTCAGTTCGAACCATTTAATTTGATATATATTTGTTATCTATCTCTATTAATTTATTAATCTATCTCTCTATTAATCTATCTCTTTTAATTTAAAAGATAAAAGGGGGTGGCCACTTTTGATGGGACACTCTGTATATATGTATATTTAAATATGATATATAATATAATATAATATAATATAATATAATATAATATAATATAATGTATATATAATATAAAAAATATTATTGCGCAACACAAGTGCGGCATAAACGATACGTCATGCAGCACGACGCATATAGTGCGATATTGACGGCTCATTTCTGAAAGATGCAATTTAGAAACATAATAAAATCATATATGATTGTATTCAGCGTAAAAAATGCTATAACTTTTGTCATGACAAATTTTGAAATTCGTAAAAATAATAAGGAAATAAGGGTAAATTAAAAAATATAAAATTTTTTTTAAATCCAGCTACGCAGTTATAAAGCTCATAAAAAACCATGCAACTTTTATTCGAAACATTTTTTGATATCTCTTACAGTTTTGACGATATTCAGTCAAAACCAAATAGACCGCTTTAGCTTGTAGGGGTTGTTTCAACCCTAAACGTGCGAAAACGCAGATTTAAAAAAGTACGTGTCTCTTGTTTTGAGCTACTTTACAACATATTTAAAACTCGTCAAAATCGGAGGGGAACACTTGGGTCTGTTTTCTTGTCAGATATTGTTCCTTTCCATACAAAAACAAAAAAAATTAATAAAATTAAATTGTACTGTAAACACTATAAAAGCAAAAAAAATCAATAAAATTAAATTGTACAAAAAAACCCAAAATAAAACATTTGGTTCTTATAATGTTTAAAAATAATGAAAAATAAAAACAAAATTGTTTACTTTCAATTGCCACTTATTTCAACATGAAATACCAAGTAACGCTTAAATCTATTAACTATAATGAAAAATTTTCAAATTAAGAATCATCTCATTATACTTAATTTCTTTTACAATCAAACTGATTTATTCAAACAATCGAGACTTTGGTGACATTTAGAATTACATTTCTA